ACTTTATTGTCATCATAATATGACTTTACTCTCATAATATTATGACTTTATTCTTGTTATATTATGATTTTATTCTCATCATAATATGACTTTACTCTCATAATATTACGACTTTATTCTTGTTATATTATGATTTTATTCTCATCATAATACGACTTTATTCTGATAATAAAACAACTATTCTCATAATATTACGACTTTATTCTTGTTATATTATGATTTTATTCTCATCATATTGCGACTTTATTCTGATAATATTACAACTTTATTCTTGTTATTTTATGACTTTATTCTGGTAATAATATGACTTTATTCTCATAATATTATGACTTTATTCTCATACGACTTTATTCTTGTATTAAATAAAATAATAATCTTGTTGTGTGGCACTAATACTTCATCGTAGGAAACAATTTAACTGAGATTTGAAGTGAAATATTTTGTGTTGATAGTTTGGGTGTTTTACTCTCGCTCTAACTGACCTGTAACACAGTGAGTCTGCTGTCCTGTCCAGGTCCCGCCCTCCTCACAGGTGCGCTCTGTGGACCCGTACAGGACGTAGCCTCGGCTGCAGGTGAAGCTCAGGGTGTCTCCCTGCAGGTAACGTGTCCCGTTCTTCTTCCCATTCCTGGGTGTAGGAATCCAGCCACAGGACACCACTACAGGAGGACAATATGTTTAGAAATCATTCATTACTGACATTTTCTCAAACTGCAAATCATGACTGATAATACTGAAAGGTTTGGAATCTTTATTGCAAAATAAATCCCTGAAAACATGCAGTGGATTTAAAGAATTAACAAATAAAACGTTTCCTTGTTTCAGTCAGTGAGTTGAAGAAGGATGAAGCGGTCCTGTGACAGTACCTGGCTCCAGGGCCTCCATTAGAGCCCGGTGACTCTGGTGGGCCCTGAGTGTGGCCTTCCCCACCGCGAGGCTCCCAGTAACAAGAGTATCGTGTTTACAGAACGGAGCCCCCTCTCCCAAACACACGGACAGCAGGTCTGCTACCAGCGGGTCATCGGGTTTCTCAGGCGGAGAAAACACAGGAACAAAAGCGGGATCGTGGCTCGGTGCGGCAAAGTAGGAATTCAGGAGGTATTCAGAGTCATACGTAAAAAGGGAAGAAGGCTTTGAAATGTTCCCTGATGGCAGAAAGAAACACTGATCTAGTTGTTTGAGTTTTGTTGCTTTGAAAAACAAAGTGCAGGTAACGTCCTCTGTTCATTACGGACCATTTTTCAGGATAAGTAGAAATAAAGACACGCTTTTAGCTGCACTGTTTTGTTAAACTCCCTGATTTCGTAGTAAAATTCAATCAACTTTGTTCACTTTAAGCAGGTAACTATAAGTAAACAATTGAATTTGTAACCAAATTTCTAAATTGACTTAAATAAAATTATTTAAAAAGCTAAAAAATGATCAAATATTTACATTTCAACAAATGTTCAAAAGTTCGACTGTCCGTCACTCACATCCAGCTCCAAAGGTAAAGACTTCCTCCGGCGTGGCGTCAGCTGAGGGTACGACCTGTCCAAACGAGGTTGTCAAGTCATCCACTGGATCAGAGTTCATGGAGCCCAGGAGACCCCGGGTTCGGTTGGAAAACTCAGCCGGCAGCAGGACAGTGGCCGTCATGGTTCCTTCATTCAGACGAAGCTCCACGGCAGCTCCAGAGGACAAGATCACCGTCACGTTCTGAGGGCCGGGGGCGAACACGAAAACACCTGAAGGACAAGAAAGATACAACGTGAAAGACACTTATCTCCTCAATATTTGTTTTAATCACCTGGTAAATGCTAAAGGACCCCCTAAAACAGGGGTTCTTAACCTTTTTGGCCTCGGGGCCCAATTTGTTGAACATAAAGTGACACAAGGCCCAGTCAGACATTACCAATGTATGGATCAAAATGATAATTATTATAAATCTATGTTTAATTTGTATTGTATTTACATTATAACTAAAGTAAACACACTTACAGTTTAAAAGCAAAACTGTCAAATAATCACAAGACATGATTATGACAAACATTTTTTTATATTGTTACCTGTCTATAACAATTATTTAAACAAATACAGTTGTATTTGTCAACAGACCACTCAGGCTTATCGACACAAAAA